CAAAAAAAAAAAAAAAAAAAAAAAGAATCCTGTGGTCAGAATTGATGTGCCACTGATGGAAGGGGAAAATCTACTTATGAAATATAAAAATGCTGTCACTCTTGGGAAGCTTCTGAACCCATCCCTGTTTGTGTGCTCAGATGGCGTGACTTACTATCTCTTGTGGCTTATTCGGGAATGGGCAATACATGAGTAATCAGCCCACAGCTCCAGTTGGTATTTGTACAATATCCCAGGAACACCAGGCATTATTTATAGTTTGTACACCCTAAATCATATGATAATAAATGTTGTCTTTTATCCTGTGATAACTTTGAAGCCTGAGGCAGGATGAGAAAATGATGATGACCTGCCTTAGAAGCATTCCTTCCTGTCTCAGTCTTTCCAGCAACCACCAAATGGGGAAATAATGATGCTTTACATACATCTGATAAAAATTATGATAGGATTTTGCCTCTCTCCTTATAGACCAAAGGAAGACCTACAATTACTATAGCACATTGTCATTCACAAGTGACAAACTATATGATGAATTTGGAAGAGAGGCTTCTAATAATTTTACAGAAATGAGCCAGAGACTTGAATCAATGGTAAGCAATTTTCCTCCACTTCTAGTACATTTTCTGTCATTTTTTTTTTTTACCATATTCTTTGAGTATCCTAGCTTCTAAAACATCCACTCGACTGATCCCTATGCCTCTTTGCAAAATGGGAAGAGGCTCCATGTAAAGGATATAAAATAAAAATGACAATACATGACTCAGAAGAATATGCATCACAAAGCTGAACCAAGAGATCTCTGGCAATTCATTTATATTCCTTCTATTTACCCTTTATTATCCCTTTTTTTGGAGTCAAGTTCTCACTCTGTCACTCAGGCTGGAGTGCCATGGCAAAATCTTGTCTTACCACTGCCTCGACCTCCAGGACTTAGGCGATTCTTCCCACCTCTGCCTCCCAAGTAGCTGGGACTACAGGTGCATGTCACCACACCTGGCTCATTTTTTGTAGAGACAAGATCTTAATATGTTTCTTAGCTTGTCTTGAACTCCTGGACTTAAGCAGTCCTTCTGCCTAGGTCTCCCAAAGTGCTGGGATTACAGATGTGAGTCACCACATCTAGCCCTCTGGTCACCATTTTTGTAGCTGAGGCTACACACTTGATCATCAGAGTATAGAAATTCTGAAAACACAAGAGTGGCCCAAAATATACTTGTTGTATTATAGACTTCCTAAAAAAACAGACCCTGACACTCCTACATAGTATTTTAGTTTGTAAAAATATCTGACTTTCAACGAGTGTTTGGTATGTAAGTTTATAGAAAAATCAATGTATACTCCTCTTTATCCTTAAGGCATCAAAATTCAACTTAGGGGATCAATAAAATATTGAAAAACCTGGAAAAGTCAGCAGTATGGGTTAAAAGAACAAGGGCCTGAGTGACAACTTCTTAGTGCTATCAGATTACTCAAAGCATCCTTTTACTTCTCCTAAGAGTCTGTGAGGTTATTAGTGGTATAATGTGATGGAAAGAATTGAACTAAGGAGTTGGAGAAGCATCTGGTTCTAGTAGTATCTACTAACTAATGATACATAATTTGAGTCATCACTTGATCATTCTAGGCACATTTCCTTATATGAAAGTTAGGGTGTTTAAATATGTAATTTCCAAATTGTCTATTTTAACAATTGGAATTGTCTATCTCAAATATTCAGTTCTAATATCTCAAATAAGAGCAGAATGGAAGGGAACCTCCCCGCCCTAGTCCCCCACTCCCCCCGGAAAATGCCTGATAGGCAGGAGGCCTGAGGATTTGGCCACCTAGCTGAGGTGGAGGTTGAATCTTGGTTACATTTGTACTCGCAAATGCCAAATCAGGGAAACATATGAAGAATCTCTTCTCTAAGGCTAAATACACATATAAAATAAAGGAAAGAAAATGACACTAAAAAGGTCAAGGAACGACGCTACTATTTTTCTTGTTCTTTGTGTCATTCACCAAAATAAATTTTATTTAAGTAAATAAAATCCAGATGGATGTAAATCTAAAGGCATCTACATGGGACTTTTTAATACCTTCAAAATTAATACTAGTTTTGAATTTGATAAAAATGAATCCTTCAGTAAAAATTTCCCAGTGAATACTGTCATCCTACTTAGCTGATTTGTCTCATAATTGTAGAAACTGTTCTTGGCTACAAAACCTCAGGAGTCAATGAAATGTAAGAAAGAATAAAAAGGCTCATTGGTTCTGTTACTCAATCACCAGCTTGTAATAACTGTTTAGTAAATATTCACTTAATGTTTCTTTGCCTACACTTCTAATTTAAGAAATTAATTTGGCCGGAATTCTTATTTATAGTGGTAAGAAATAGCTTCACAAAATATGTTTAAAAAATCTTACCAAATTAAAATCATTGATGTGTTAAGTATCTCAGTTCACATAGGCCTTTCCAAGAACGTTTTGCGTGCTGAACTGGGCATACTTGGCAACATTTTAACTAGATTTGGGGACCATGTGACACTGTCATGCACTCATTTCTATGACCCAACTGTCTCTTGACAGAATTATTATATTTCCTTTGTCTATGTGCAATAAAATTCCTTATCTCAGGGTATAAATGCTCCCTCTTTCTTTCCAAGAAATGGCATGTTCATTCTCTTTGGTTTCTTTCTGAGTGATATCACTGCTACAGCAGATTTCACTTCTGGCCACTATGTTTCTCCAGCTCCTAATAACTCATTTTTATGGCAAAGTTCAGTTGAAATCACCGAGAATACCAAAATAGATTCCCCAATCTTCCTCAAGTTCAGAACACTGTGAAATGTCCATCAGTGTTTTTTGGTTTGTTCTGTTTTTCCATTTTCCACAGAGCTGACATATTTTGAATATTTTTCAAACAGGTGAAAAATGCATTTTATAAATCTCCATTAAGGAGAGAATTTGTCAAGTCTCACGTTATCAAGTTCAGGTATGTAAATCTAAAATGCTGACTTCTGAAGTTAATTTAATGCTGAAGCCATTAACCAGCAATATATAGGTTTTAAAGTGTTAATGAAATGATGTAATTCAATTCAACAAACATTCATTTGATACCTTTTCTGTGTGTAAGTCATGGGTTACAAAGTACCTTACTCATTCTTTAAATCCAAAAGTAAGCATTTTCAAATGATTGCCAGGGACAGAGGTGTAACTGGTGTCTGTCTGTCTGTCTATCTATCTATCTATCTATCTATCTATCTATCTATCTACCTATCTATCTATCCATCCATCCATCTATCTATCTATCATCTATCTATCTGGGGGAATTCTAACTTGCACAGATAGAGACCTAACACACATCTTGGTTTAATAGCAATTAATGTCCTATGTAAAATAATATTTACTTGAACATAAAGAAGCAGCAGGAAAAAAGAAAAATTATGACTAAGGCACCACTAATGCTAAAGACAGGAAATTTCAAGGAGGGTATGATCAACAATGACAAACATTGCTGACCAAATAATACAAATACTGAGAAGAAGTCACTGGGTGTGTCAACTAGAACACTTGGATTGTTATTTATTTTCCTATTTTTATTTTTATTTTTTTTTGAGTTGGAGTCTCACTGCGTCACCCAGACTGGAGTGCAGTGACCGCTCCCGGCCACTGCAGCCTCGACCTGGGCTCCGGCCATCCTTCCGCCTCAGCCTTCCGAGTAGCTGGAACTACAGGCGCGCGCTTCCACACCCGGCTCATTTTGATTTATCGTAGAGATGAGGGTTTGCCAATCCACTCACCTCGGTCTCCCAAAGCGCGGGATTACAGGCTGAGCCACCGAGACTGGCTATTTTCCTGTTTTTAAAGCTTCTCTTGCAGGGTCGGTGGCTCAGCCTGTAATCCCGCACTTTGGGAGGCTGAGGTGAGTGGATTGCCTGAGCCCGCGGGTTCGAGACCCGCCTGGGCAACTTGGCGAGACCTCATCTCTACAATAAATCAAAAAAAAAAAAAAAAAAAAAAAATTAGCTGGGTGTGGTAGCGTGTGCCTGTAGTTCCAGCTACTCGGAAGGCTGAGGCAGAAGGATCACCGGAGTCCAGCAGGTCGAGGCTGCGGTGGCCGGGAGCGGGCCACTGCCCTCCAGTCTTTAACTCTTTGTTCTCTTCCTTATCATTTTTAAAAAAAAGTTTTAAAACAAAGTTTATTAGCGAGAAAAGAAAGAAGGAAGAAGAAAGATTTATGGCAGAAAGACCCGGCATGGGCGAATTTTTAAAAGAAAAACTGCCCTTATCATTTTCGTAAACTTCTATTCCACCTCTGTAGGCTCTAAATATTTAGCTAAGAAGAGCTCATCTGTTAATCAACCATCATGAGATAAACAAGTTCAGACCACAACATTTTAAGGAAAATACTAAATAAAAATTTTAAGTAATATATCGTCATAATACACAATATTTTTATTTTTCAAAAATAGGATAAGAACTGTTTCCAATATTATTCCAATGAAAAAACTCTAAAGGTTACTTCCCAGTCTATTACTTAGCTGACACCTCTGAGGCATTACTCTGACCACTTCCTCCCTAAAATTCTGTACTCTCTGGTATTTGAGATAGTATCCTTTCTTGGATCTGCATCTTCTTCTCTGATCCTTAAGTTTCACTTTCTCAAAGGACCACATCTAGCTACATGGCTTCATATGATAGTGAAATCCAAGTGTCTGTCTCCAGTCTGACCTATTTTCCGATTTCTATAACTATATTTCTGCCCATGCACATCTCCACATAGAAGTTCTACAGAAAATGTCCTAACTCAAGGAGAATCAATCACATTAATGAGAAACCTAGAAGTCATCATATATTCCTCTCTTTCCCGAGCCCCTAATACATAAGAATAACTGCATTTTCCATTTCTATTTTCCATATTACTTTCTAATATGTTCTCCTTTTCATTTTGGTAAAATGGCTACTGCTACTCATTATTCTTGCTTGTGTTATTACAGTGGTGAGAAGAACAAATTTATTTGAAAGAGGAAGTCAGTTTTAGAGAGCTAAGACACTACAGGATAATATTTGATTGTATGAAGAAAATATACTTTATATATACCATGGAATACTACCCAGTCATAAAAAAGACTGACATAATGTCCTCCATAGCAGCATGGATGCTGTTGAAGGCCATTATCTTGAGTGAAATAACTTAGAAACAGAAAATCAAATATAGCATGCTCTCACTTAGAAGTGGGAACTAAACAGTGAGTACACATGGACATGGAAATGAAAATAATAGACACCAAGGACTCCAAGAGAGGGAGGGTGGAAGAGTGGGAAGGGAGCAAGGATTGAAAAGCTACCTATTGGGTACTATGTCCACTATTTGGGTGATGGGTTCACTGCAAACCCAAACCCCACTATTATACAATATATCCTTGTAACAAACCCACACACAAACTCTCCAAATCTGTAATTAAAAAACGATACTAGAGGACCATATGAATGAGTGTGACTTGGTGGAGGGAAAAGAAACTGAGCAGAAGATAAAAATTTGCAAATCATCAACTCAAAATTTTGGAAAGCTTGAGTATAAATTTTCCAGAAAAAGCATAATGCAAAGGGGGAAAAAAGATGATTAAATCTTGAAGAACAACAATATTTAAGGAGATGGAAGAAAAATAAGAAACTTGAACATAAAGAAAGAGCAGGAAAAAAGAAAAATCGTGACTGAGGCACCACTGATGCTAAAGACAAGAAATTTCAAGGAGGATATGATCAACAATGACAAATACTCCTGACCAAGTAATATAAATACTGAGAAGAATCCACTGGATATGTCAACTAGAACACTTGGATTGCTATTTATTTTCCTGTTTTGAAAGCAAGGTTATAATGAACATGTCTATACATATGTCCTTGCACACATAAGAGTGCATTTGAAGATTTAATTTCTAGAAGTGAGAAATGCTGTGTCAGAGAGGAAGGATATTCAAATTTTTAACAGATTAACAAAATTCCTCCAAAAATCAGATTTTAATATATATTCCCATTTACAGTTCATGAACGTAAGAGTTGATGTAGTATATAGTGAAGAGTGAGATCCTTTGGAAACCACGAAAAGGAGAGGGGAAAATAGAGGCGGGATGATTCCAAAGTAGTTACTCACAAAAGTAGTACTAAGGTTAATTAATGCTCTGTGTTGAAAATACAGTCACATGAAGTCAATCTAATTTGGTCAAACTTTCCAATATCTTTAGAAGTTGTTTAGGAAAGTCTGAAGATTGCTTAAGAGAAATAGGTGGATTCAAGTCAGAAGAATGAAACTTGAAAGCCAAAACCACGGTTGATTTCACTCACCACAATTATATTTGGTAATTTTGAATAGTTGACAATATAAGTGTCTTTTTATATTAATAGTTATGTACTTAACTAGATCCTTTGGTGGTAAGTGAGACCATGGACACACTAGCAGACTATCAGAAAAGCTGTTTGGGGTCTCGTACATAGTCAACAATGGTGGTACAGAAGGAAACATTTATGGATTTATTTTGTATGTGTGTTTCAAATAAATAATAAAGGAAGAAAACAGATTGTGATACTTTCTTCCTTCCCTCCCTTTCTCCTTCCCTCCCTTTCTCTCTCCCTCCATCCCCTCTGTCCTTTCTTTCTTGATTCACAGTCAAGAGAAACATGGAGTGTTGGCTCATATGCTGCTGACGTGTAGATTTCGCTCTACTGAGGATCCTGAAACCGTAAACAGAATTGTTCAACGTGTTCTACATGAAAAGCTTCAAGATGCTGTAGGACCCCCTAAAGTGGATCCTGACTCAGTTGAAATTATAAGTAAGTTAATTTCTCTTATCTAGTTTATCTTACATAGAACTGCTCTATGTTATGTTTGGTCTTGCTAGTAATTAAAAACATTTTTTGGCTGTCCTTCAGTTTTGGGGACTTGTCACCAATAGGATATTTCTTTGGAACTAAACTCATTCTAATGAAGTATTTTAATTTTTAAAACTACCCTAACAAACTTTTCATTAACTACTGGCAGTTTCTTTTATATTGAACATTGTACTGTGACTGTAGAAACTAATTCTAAGTGGAGGAAGTGGTTTTGTATATTCTTCTTTGTCTTGTTGCCTTCATTTTATGTGCTGATAATATAATGTGTGGAAAGGCTCCTGCCATGCACACATTTGCTTCCAAATGTCACTAATACACTTTGTTGTTGCTTCTTCCCTTAAATTATTTACCAGTGAAAAAACTTATGATATACTTAGTTTTGGTATATTTGCAACTATAAGTGAAAAGTTTTAGGTAGGTTTTCTTGTTGTGGCTGTCAGGTTTTTTTTTTGTTTGTGTTTGTGGGGCCATATCGAACAAAATAAGTAGTGATAGGTCATCATTATTAGAAAGTAAGAAACACAGCTGGGCATGGTGTCTCATGCCTGTAATCCCAGCACTTTGGGAGGTGGAGACGAGAAGACTGCCTGAACCCTGGGGTTCGAGAACAGCCTGGGCAACTTGGCGAGACCTCATCTCTACAATAAATCAAAAAATTAGCCGAGAGTAGTGGCTCATGCCTGTAGTCCCTGCTACTTGGAAGGCTGAAGTGGAAAGATTGCCTGAGCCCAGTGGGTTGAGGCTGCAGCGACTGTGAGCATGCCACAGCACTCCGGCCTGGGCAACAGAGTGAGACCAAAAAAAAAAAAAAAAAATTGAGAGCCATGAGATCTTCAGTGGAATGAAGGTCTGCTTAAGTGCTGAGTCATATGTTCTAGAACAGTGCAGGTCAGTGGAAATACTCTGTGGGCACAAGTACAATATGAAAGTTTCTGGGAGTTACACTAAAAAAGTGAAAATAAACATGCAAAATTAATTTGAATAATTTGTATATTTAACCCGACATGTCCAAAAGATTATTCTTTCAATAAGTAGTCAATGTACAAATTATCCATGAGGTATTTTACATTTTTTTGTACGAAGGCTCTGAAATGTAGTGCACATTTTATATTGGTCGCACATTTCAGTTTAGACTGGCCACTTTTCAAGAGCTCTCTGGCTGTATGAATGTGTCGTTAGTGAATGCAGTAATAAATATGGAAGTACTAGGGAATAGGGAATACAGAACAAGTAGAGAGAATGAATACAAACTGCTAATATAAAAGTTGACAGATCTAAGTAGAGGCCTAAACTGATGGTCAGTCACCCTGATTGCTTAGGGTGGAGGCTTCAGTAGTCAGGGTCAGCTACACAATTTGTGCACCCAGCGCAAAATGAAAATGCTGGACCCTTTTTCAAAAAAGCAAGAAAAAGTACTGTTAAAACTAAAATATATGTCCTTTCTTTCTTCCATGGTCTATCTCTTGACTTTTCTTTTCTTTTTTTTGAGTTGGAGTCTCACTCTGTTGCCCAGACTGGAGTGCAGTGGCCACTCGCGGCCACCGCAGCCTCAACCTGCTGGGCTCCGGCGATCCTTCCGCCTCAGCCTTCCAAGTAGCCGGAATTACAGGCATGCGCTACCATGCCTGACTGATTTTTTTTTGATTTATTGTAGAGATGAGGTCTCGCTGCCCAGGCAGGTCTCGAACCCTCGGGCTCAGGCAATCCACTCACCTCAGCCTCTCAAAGATGCGGGATTACAGGCTGAGCCACCGAGCCCGGCCACTTTTCATTTTTATTTGCCCATTTGTGTCATTCTAAGTGAAAAAAGTGAAATTGTTACTAGAAGTTTTACTGTTTCCTTCTTGCAGTGTTAATGTTAAATGCGTATATGGGCGCATTTAACTTGTATGCAAAACCATGAAAATTATGCAGCTGTGTTTCGTAGCTCGTATATGAATCTTTCTCATTTTTGTCAGATCAGTAGAAATAGTGCACAAGGATAACTTAACTCTCTGTGTTTCTCTTCTTCATATGAGCACATTCTACCAATGTGCTCTACCTTCAGCTTATTGAAGCATGAGGGAATATGAAAGAATAGGAACTCTGCGTTTCCCTTTCATTCCCCTTCTTTCTATGTCATTATTTTCAACAAAAGCTGTTGGCTAATACGTGGAAGTAACAGCAGGAAGAAAGGATATGATAGGGTTTCTTGTTTCTTGGTGTTTATTAAAATACTATTGTCTTCTTTCTGGGGGTCTAAGCAAGTCCCGGCTGAAACAAAAAACGTGGTCCCTCAGGGACCGTCAGGACCCCACTGCTGACTTGGTGGAAGTTATAACATGCTTGTCTTGTATTTGCTTTGAGTCTTGCTGAACTTCTACATGTTGTGGGTTCACCAGAATTCTGATTTTATAGGGCATCACAAATGATATATGCAAACAGTGTGGCAAGAAACTGTGGACACACATTTTTATTTTTATTTTTTAAATATGGGGTTTTGCTGGGTCACCCAGGCTGGGGTGCAGTATTGTGATTATAGCTTGCTGAAGGTTCAAACTTCTGGGCTCAAGCGATCCTCCTTCCTCAGCTTTCTGAGTAGCTGGTAGTCTAGGCACATGCCATTATGCCCAGTTAATATTTTATTTTTCAAAATTATCTTATGTTTTTCATAGAGATGGAGTCTGGTTATATTGCCCAGACTGCCTCCGCCTCTCAAGTAGTTAGGATTATAGGCATGAGTCACTGTACCCAGCTGAACATATATTATATAAATCTCCTTTGCTCACATTATTCTCTATTATCCTATTGAACTTAACTTTCAAAGCACAAGTTCCAAGATACAATTACTAAGAATTTTAAGATAACAATAGCAGAGTATTACATTGCATCAAACACAAGGACATTATAAGTGGGGGACCCAGGGCCAATGCATAAGTCACACATACTGGAAGTCAGCCTTGTCAGTAGTATCAAACATACAAAACCAGAACTTTCCCTAGGAAGTGCTTGAGATAGAGAAGAACATGTTATATGAAACAGAGACATCAGAAGTGGTCCTTTTAATATTAACTTAGAACAAATGGTTTTTTTTTCTTTTTTTGGGGGAGTATCTTACTATGTTGCCCAGGCTGGTGTGCAATGGTACTATCCTAGCTCACCACAGTCTCAAACTCGAGGACTTAGGCAATCTTTCTGCCTCAGCCTCCTGAGTAGTTGCAATTGCAAGAGCATGTGACCACATCTGGCTAATTTTTAAATTTTTTGTAAAGATGAAGTCTCACTGTTGCCTAGACTAGTCTCAAACTCTTGGGCTCAAGCAATACTCCCGCCTCAGCCTCCCAAAGTGCTGGGATTACAGGTGTAAACCAACATTGCCTAGCCTTAATTCCTTTTTTAACATTTTCCCCACAAATAGCCAGAATAAATAAAATCAGAAAGAAGACTTGAAAAAATGTAGATTTCCAGTAAATCTATACTATTCAATACTAAACAAATTAGATGAATATCTTTGCATTGAGAACATTCATCCTGCCATTTCAAAAAGAGTAGTTTTGGACGTTAGAAATTTACTGAGTCTGAAAGTCTGAGCTTAGAGTTTTATGTATCTAATGACTGGGTTTGTGTTTGCAGAAGGTTAGGGCTTAATTGTTGGGAAGTCAACACACTAAGGAGTCATTGACTGGAGTTGAATTTGAGGATTAAGTTATGAAGATGTGACTCATGTGTTATATAAATGGAACTATGCTTATGTGCTTAGTGAAATAATCTGAAATAATGGTTAATAAAAATATAATTACATTTGGGAAGTCAGTACAATGGTTTAGATCAATATTTCCCAAAGGGAGCCATGGACTACTTGTATCTTATTTCCTGGTATAAAATTCAGATTTGGGGGCTTTAACACAAAACTACTGAATTCGAAGAATTATTGGGAAAGGAGCAGTCTCTCCTGCTCAAGGCAATGACAATATTATGTCTGTGACAAACTGTGTTGTTTTTTAAGTAACCTATTCTATGTTATGATAAAATTAACCAGCCTTTTGGTATTTGAAATATTCAGAGGAAAAGTGCAATTCTGATGTGTTCACCCTGTTCTTTTCACTATTTCTGTGTATTTCAGAAATCAACAAGACAGAAACAGACAACTATCTGAACAATTGTAAGTTTAATACATTTATTAAAATGGCATTACCTGAACGTAAATAGTTAACATTCTGGATCATTTAGGCTTTCTTTGTGTTCCTATTATAAAGCCATAACAGATAAAGTGTAATTGATTTGTGCACAGTTCATGGTGCTTTATCTTGTTTCTGAGCAAATTTTATTAGTAAAGAATAGTACAATTGAGAGAACCTTGGAGTGGGCATATGGGTGCCTGTGGCAGATGTGTAGTGAAAGTGACTTGTGCAACTGTTAAAGAAGCGACAAAAATGATCACTTACCAATGCTCTGTTTGCAGTTATCTATAATATACTCTTGCAAAAGTTTTCTGAAGATTATATAAAACAATTCCATATGTTGATATTATTCAGCTAGAGGTAGAAACTAATTGTCATCGTACCCTAAATAAAATCTTCTTGATATTTTAATCCTATTTCATGGAGAGTGCAGGCAATTATGGCACTGGGATATATTTTGAAGAGATTATTGAAGGCCCAGATAATGTCTTTACCCATACTTTATAAGTGCTGACTCTAGGTCTAGTATTTCCCTTTTCCTATAGCCAAGTATAAAAAATATTGAGAAAGACACACACACACACACACACACACACACACACACACACACACAGTGCAAACACACACACATATATAGAGAGAAGAGTGTGCCTGTTATTGTGCTTGTCATTATTATTATGATGGAAGCATCAAGAAACTCCTAACAAATCCTGTTTGGACGTAGGAAAGTAAAGGTACCCTAGATGAGGTAATAACTGATTTACATCTCACAAGATGAATAGGAGTTAACTAAATGAAACATTACAGTTTACAGAAAAGTAAGACCATGAGAAAATATTTGATACTCCTGGAGTTCAAAGTACAAGACATTTGCAACATAGTAACACCATGTGATGCTTAAAACAACTGCTAATTAATGAACCATCTCTCTTTGTCAGGCTGTGGGACACGAAGGAGTAAACCTGCGAGACAAAGCGTCAGGATCGTTGGTGGAACAGAGGCAGAAGAGGGTGAATGGCCATGGCAAACAAGCCTGCAGTGGGATGGGACTCATCGCTGTGGAGCAACTTTAATTAATACCAAATGGCTTGTGAGTGCTGCTCACTGTTTTAGAATGTAAGTTTTGAAACTTCCAAATGACTGGGGAGAAACAAAGTGCAATAGATGTTGGCAAGAAGAAAATGCCTCATGAATTTTCAGAGAGGTTAGTTTAGTGTAAATGAAAGATAATGTGGAAATCATAAAGGGAGTGAGAAATTCATACACCTTAGTAAGACGTTTTCTAATCTGGAAGTGAAAATGTCATCATAGTGCATGTTGGTAAATTGTGCATTGATAAGACCACAATAATTTGTCAAAAGAAAGTGGGAATATTAAAATCATCTTTGGACTTAGAGCTTGATGTTGAAGGGAAGTACCCTATCTTCATGCTGAGTATCTCTATCAGAGTTGGAGCTTGGGTAGGTAGCAGGTTTGACACCAAGGGGGGACATTTCACATGGTAAGAAAAATAATTAAGTATGATAAATTTTGAAGTAGCAAATTGCATGAATGAATAGATTGGCTAATTATATTACAAGAAATGAAGAAAAGTTCAACCTAGTGTCAAAAACATCTGCAATAGATAGAAGAGTAGTGCTTTGTAAATAATTGTGTAGCCTTCAGTGATGTGTATATTTGTGGGTAAGGGGCATGAGTGAGGCGCATAGAATATATTTAGTTCTCTGATTCTGTACAGGATATTCTTTCCACAAGTCCCTTGGACTCATTGATGTCCAGAAATGTTAACAGGCCCTAGGATCGGGAGTCGATGGCTTGGCATATGGAATGGCGTGTATATTCTAGGAAATGCCGACTTTCCCACCTGATCTGACCTCAGAACCTTATTCTCATATTAGAAAGAGTTTGTTTCTATACATAGGAACTATAAATTTAAAAAGAAAAAAGTCTATAATTGTACTAAATTAACTTGACTAATAGTATAAATTATTAGATTTGCAGCATATTAAACTGAAATTTATTGTTTATTTTTTCTACCCAGGTATAAGGACCCAGCCAGATGGACTGCTTCCTTTGGAGTAAGAATAAATCCTCCAAAAATGAAACATGGCCTCCGGAGGATAATCGTCCATGAAAAATATAAGTACCCATCACATGACTATGATATTGCACTTGCCGAGCTTTCTAGCCCTGTTCCCTACACAAATGCAGTACATAGAGTTTGTCTCCCTGATGCATCCCATGAGTTCCACCCAGGTGATAGGATGTTTGTGACAGGTTTTGGAGCACTGCAAAATGATGGTGAGTACCTGAAGAAACACTCAAGCCAAATCCAATTTGCTGTTCTGTGACATTTAAAGAACGAAATATCAATATGTCAAAACATGATGGTTGAATGGTCAGATGAATTTGGGGCCAATTCAGTCCTTACAATTACAGTAAGTAATTTAGAAGACACACGAATTTCCTCCTGCCTAAATTACTATTAAATAAATCACTACTACCACAGTAATGGTGCTGATAATGTGTCTGAAAGAGTAACTATGTCTCCTATCCACTGAACATTTTTCTACAAAATTAGTCATTTTCCAGATTAGGGCTCAATATTGTATCCAATTGTGAAGATTAGAGAATCATAAAGCCACCATTCTTCACTAATAAATCTTACTTCTAATCTTAACAACAGAGTATAAATTACTTACATAACTTGAGGTTTTTTCTAGTAGTTAGGAACAAATTCTCTTTCCAAACATTACTGTGTCTAAAAAATGATTATTCCAAAATTCTATATAACCGTTTTATTCAGTAATTATGAAAGATTTTCTTCAGGTTTATAAAATATATGTATGTCTACAACTACAAAGACTTTTTTTTTCTCCTTTAGGTAATAGTGAAAATCATCTTCGGCAAGCAGAGGTGACTCTCATAGACACTAAAACCTGCAATGAACCTCAAGCTTACGATGGTGCCATAACTCCTAGAATGTTATGTGCTGGCTCCTTAAAAGGAAAAAGAGATGCGTGCCAGGTAAATTGCTTTGCTTATTAGTATGCTGCATACTTTTTTGTTCACTTTGAAATAATTACAAGTTATGAACACATTATTTCAAATTTAGCTATTATTACTATTACTTAACATTTCTAAATGGACAGAAAAAATCACAAGAGAGTTAGTAGAATGTAGGGAAAAAAGCATGGGTTTCTGAATTAGATCACTCTGGATTCAAATTCAAGTTCTGCTACTGATTAGCACGTGATCTCAGGCAAATTACTCAAATTCGTTGAGTTTAATTACAAATTTATAAGTCACAATGATAGAGTACAGAAGAGTCACATGTACCTCTTCACCCAGGTTTCCTCAGTGGTTAATCTCACACAACTATGGTACAATATAGGATCTAGGACACTGACAGTGGTACAAAATCTGTCTTAACTCTATGGCATTTTGTCATGTCTAGATTTGTGTAACCACCACTGCAGTTAAAATGGAGAAATATTTTTATCACTACAAGATCCACCTCAAGGGTAGCACCCTTCTCCTCTCTTTGTCTCTAACATCTGGTAATCACTAATTTGTACTCCATCTCTTTAATTGTGTAATTCCCAGAATGTAATATAAATAGAATCAAGCAGAGCAATTTTTATAGAATTCAGTCTTAGCTTATGTACTAGTGTTTTTGACTATATCTTTGCAGCAAAATTTTAGTGGTTTTTGTAAGTTATGTTATGTGCATATATAAACATATATATATTTGTGTATATCCATAGATATACTTATATGCATATATGTAAAACTTTACAATTATCAGTTTAATGATATTGACATTTCACTAACTTGAGTTGAGTGTGGAATAGAAAACCTACCTCCCATTAAGTCCCTTTACTCTTCCTTGTTTAATATTAATAAATATAAATATTAAATATTTTCTCTATATTTTGAGAGAATCTAGACATCATATCAGACATTGTTTTTCTTCAACTACCAAACATAACTTAGAAAACTGAAGAGGGAAAGAAAAGTGTGCTTACTTACAGAGTTGTTGTTTTTTCTTCCCTAATTTTCCAAGATTCCTTTTTCAAAAAAATCATTTCTTTTCCATTTTAGAAACATCCTTAGGCACCGTTTTGACATAGGTATGCTGGCGACAAATTCTCTTTGAGTGCAAAATCTTTCTTTTTTTTTTTTTTCTGCTTCACTACTGAAGCATAATTTTAGTAGGTGTAGAATTTAGGATTGACAGTTATTTTCTTCTAGAACTTAAATCATGGTTTCTGTAATTTATATCAGGAATCTACTGCTATTAGAATTACTTTGTTTTAAATAGTTGAGGTGTCATTTCTCTCTTCCTGTGTTCAAGAGCTTTTCTTTGTCTTTAGTTTTCAGAAGTTTGATAATGTGTTTGATAATGTGCATGAATTTCTTTGGGTTTATTCTGTTTGAGGTTTTCTCAGCTTTTCGAATCTGTAAATTTATGCCCTTTGACAAGTTTGTAAAATTTTCAGCTGTTATTTCTTAGAATACTTTTTCAACTCCACCTTATTTCTCCTCTCTTTCTGGAACTCTAAGCACATTAATGTTTACTCTTTTTATTATAGTCTCAGAGATTCCTGAGCTTCTATTTGTTTTTCACCTAATTTTCTCTGTTGTTCATATTAAGTGGTTTTTATTGTTTTGTCTTCAAGTTCACTGAATCCTTTCTCTGTCATTTCTATTCTTCTGTTAAGCCCATCCAGGAAATTTTTTATTTTGGTTATTAAATTTTTTAGATCTAGAATTTTTATTTGATTCTTTTATATATACTATTTCTTTGTTGAGACTTGCTTTTTTGTTTGTTAGTTTGTTTTAAGCATGGTTGTGATTATTACTGAGACATTTTTATGATAGTTGTGTTAAAATCTTTGTCAGATAATTGCAACATCTGTGTTATCTCAGTGTTGTTGTCTATCGATTGCTTTTTCTTATTCAAGTTGAGACTTTCTTGTTCCTTTATATGAAGAGTGATTTTCAAGTGTTATTTTTTTTAAGATTGTTAAAATTATTTAAAACTTAGATCTTACTTAAGTCTTCTGTTTTAGCATGCCTCTGCTGACATCACACAGCAGAGCGGGGGCAATGTAGGGAGGAATTTCCTCATTCTCTACTCATCTTCATTTGATACCAAAGTGGGCGACTAGTGTCTCATTACTGCTGCATACCTTTCAGATCCCACATCAGACCCCTTTTGATATCACTCTGTCTGGGACCACCTTGTTATTGCTCACCTTTTGGCCTCTGCTGACATCATGGCATAGTGATTTTATTATTGATTGGCAGTGGTGAAAGTCTTAATTCTCTACTACATCTCCTCTGACATCACACTAGTGAAAGGGAGAGTTATGCCTCATTATTACTGGGTGGTAGTTTATGTTTCTCACTGGTCACCACAGAAGAAGTAAGGGAGGGCTTTATTATCACCTGGCAGGTCTGAAAGTCTGGCTTCCTATTCAGCATACTCTGCTACCAGTCTGTTGGGAGATTGGGCTTTCTTATACCTGGTGAACATGGAAATCTTTCTCTGTTGTCCTTTGCTATCTTCCTGAGTTTTTTGTTTTCCCAGGTTGCCCTCTTACTGGCTCTTTGTCTGCCAAGGAGAGCGGAATTTTCTGGAAGCTTTAAAAAAAAAACAAAAAACTGCACCTGTTGGCAAATTTCCAGGTTGCTGACTTCCTCAGTTACTAGTTTAAGACATATGAAGCAAAAGGGAAATCCAGGGAACTCACTGCTGTATGATTCCTTGAATCTTGGGTTTCTTGCCTACTTACTTTTTTTGCTTTACTTTTCAGAATCTTTTTATATTTGTTTTATCTATCTATCTATCTATCTATCTATCTATCTATCTATCTATCTATCTATCCAACTACCTTATCTATCTATCTATCTGTCTTTCTATTTATTTTTACTTAGGGAATTATTTTTATTTTATTTTAAGATGTGGGGTGCAATTCAGGGTTAGGTATACAAATGTTCATTATGCAGATACCCTTGTTGATGGGATTTGCCCATCCCTCTCCTGGCAGTTTCCCTCAACTGCCAATCCCATGTCCCCTCCCCTGTCAGTTTCCCAGTGTGGCGAATTCTGAAAGAACTAGAAATTGACCTTCTATATGACCCAGCAATCCCCCTATTGGGAATATACCAGGTGGAACTCAAATTGTTCTATAAAAAAGACACCTGCACATGCACGTTTGCTGCAATTTTATTCACAATAGCAAAAACATGGAACCAACCATGCTGCCCATTGAAGCTGGACTGGATTAAAAAAAATGTGGTGCATATACATATGGCATATTATACAGTCACAAATAAGGACAAATATATTTGTTTTATTCCTAATGTCCAGGTTTTTGTTTGTTTTAGCTTATTTAACTAAAAGCAAAAAATAAAAGTAAATCTATTTTATCTTGCTCTGAAGTTTATACATCTTTTTGAACCCTGATTGTGCTTTTCAGTTTATAGCCTAGGGCTGTCAATTTTGTACCTTTGACAAATGTGAACATTTTGACCTCTTTGTCTTCATCCTTTCTACTCATAAATTCTTGGAGGAGACCAATAACTGACTCCTTGTGTATGTCACTACATGCTCCTATCATTTTCATTTTGTGATTTGACAGACCTTATGTTTAGTATGATTCTTATACAGTATATTGCTGTTTAAAATACCATGTTACAGAGCCGGGCTCTGTGGCTCAGCCTGTAATCCGCGCCTTTGGAAGGCTGAGGTGAGTGGATTGCCTGAGCCCTTGGGTTCAAGACCCACCTGGGCAACTTGGCAGACCTCATCTCTACAATAAATCAAAAAATCAGCCGGGCGTGGTAGCGCATGCCTGTAATTCCGGCTACTCGGAAGGCTGAGGCGGAAGGATCGCCGGAGCCCAGCAGGTCGAGGCTGCGGTGGCCGGGAGCGGCCACTGCACTCCAGTCTGGGCAACAGAGTGAGACTCCAACTCAAAAAATAAAAAAAATAAAAATAAAAAATAAAATAAAATACCATGTTACTTTGTATGCTTTTAAATCTGAATTCAGAAAATAGTATGTCATCAATTTCTAAGTTTTTTTAAAATAATTTTTTATGTTTTTCCTCTTATATTTTTACATGAACACTGAATCTGTTTTTCCTTCATTGGTTCTACCTCTTTAACTCACTGTTGGTTTTACCATGTTTTTTTTTTAACCCTAACATTTACCTGGGTTAGTTATTTTAGCATTGTTCAGTTTGCTACATTAAATTCTCTTACTCTGTTGATATTTCTCCATACTTCTGGCAAATGTTCAAGGTTAGACTCACTTCACTGTGCTTCATTTATGCTCTAAAACTCTAATTGCTCCTGAAGGAACAAAAGAAAGAAGATAGATTGGTCCCATTGCAACATTCCATAAAGTTGATTTTGTAACTCAATCTCCTAAAATGAAGTTAAGTTAAAAAAAAATCCTTGAAAATATACTCAATCCTTGTAATTTCCAGATTCCATATTTGTCAATTCACCTACTTGCTAAAATGTATCTGTAATCTCAAAATCAACTCAAGGCGCTTCTATGATCATTCACAAGCATACAGAGTGGCTAAAATTTTGGTTACTCAAGGTGCACACTGTTATCTGAGGTTGAAGTGGATGATATGGTGCCTTTGATATTTTAACTCTCATACTGTGAAGAAGTGTCTTTTTTATGGTTCATGTAGTGCTGCATTCTTCACATTAGTCTACTTTTTGTTTGTGATTTTGTTGTTTAAAATCGCCCCCAATTGTAGTGCTGTAGTGTAGTGCCGGAGATTATGATGTATTGTATGGAGAAAATATGCGTAGTGTGTAGGCTGTGTTTAGTCATGCGTTATGCTGTCAACTATGTGTTCAATTTTAATAAATCAACAGTAAGTGTTCAATAAGGCATCTTTAAACAGAAATACACATAAAAGATTGTTATGTACTCATCAGTTGACAAAAGGTGACCAGAGGCTCTTGGAAACCTAAATCTGTATTTCCCCTAAGAAC